TATTTCTGGCATCTTGTGGTTTAAAGACTTAATTTTTGCCCTCACTGCTAAAGGAAATAGAAGATCACCACATCTGTGTTATGGCCATTTAAATCATGGAAATGCAAATAAATCTGATATATGTCTCCTTAGCTGTCAGTTATCTCCTGGTCAAATTGTAAATTATTTGACTGTTTGTATGTATGCTCCGTCTATGTGACCCTTACATATGTAAAATGACTTTACACACGCAATGTATGTAACTTGGTTGTCTGGTCTCCATTTCATGTGGCTTTCCCTATTTTTTATTTAGTAGGGAAATTGTTCTCCCACTGAATCTTAATCCACAATGTTAAGACTTCAGAAATATAGTTTTATTCTTCAGAAAGAGTTTCAATCTTCTTACTGTCAAACACATTCTTCTCTCACATGGGCACTTAGTATTGTCAGGATGTCAATTTAATTTTGACAGGGCCCCCCAAAGGTGGAATTTTCGAGTTTTTATTCTTAGTTAATTTGAATCAGTAAGAGGATGTTTGAGGGTTTTTTCCTCTCTGTTTTCATGGAAACATATACTTTCCCATAAGATTGGATGACAGTAATATGTTTGTGAGGCACTCTAAGCTTTTGAGAGTGAAACGTTTCTGTACTGCTCAAGACCTACTGTTAACTCCTCTAAATGGCTCCTGGGTCATTGTTATCTCCAAGTGCTCTTAATAGTCTGAAGGCACTGGAATCTTTGTTCCCATTAAGAAATGTTTTTTCCCCCACTTTCTTTTGGTGCAGCACCACTTGACTTTTAGATGTAGCAATATATGGTGACAAATCCATTGTTCTTTGCTCTTTAGGTAGTATTAGTGCCTGATGACTAGTAGGGTGTGAGTTTTTAGATTTCTGTCCGGGAGTAGGAGTAGATTGAATTAATCTCAAGACCCTTGTATTAGCTAGCTAGGGCTGCATAACAAATGGAGCCAAAATGAAGTGTTTTAAAATAATAGACATGTCTCATATCGTTTTTGGGTGGTATCTGGGAGAGGCTAAGCTGGAAGGTTTGGGCTGAGGGCCTCTCATGATGTTATATAAAGGTGTTGGCCCTGGGACTACAGTCATCTGAAGGCTTACCTGGAGCCAGACTGGGCTTTCCAAAGTGGCTCACCCCCACCACTATTGGCTGGAGGTCTAAGTTTCTTGCCATGTGGGTCTCTGCTTGAGTATCTGTATGACAGCAGCTGGTTTCCTCCAGAATGAGTGATCAAAGAGCGAGACCAAGGAAGAAGCCGTGATGCCTCTTACAACCAAATCTCAGAAGTCACACACTGGCACTTCTGCCATATTCTCTTTGTTAGAAACGAGTCACTAGTCTAGCCCATACTCAGGGGGAGGGGAATTAAGCTCCCCTCTTGAAGAGAAGTATATCAAAGAATTTGTGGACATATTTTAAACCTCTACAACTCTCTTGATGTCCCCCCCTTTGTTACTGGGTACCTGCAAAAAACAAACCAAAGTCAGAGGTTTTGTGGTCAGAAAATTTATTGCTCCCTCAATCTTGGGGTAATTCATACAGCATTTCAGCCTTCCAACCTAACTAAATAGGTGCTCCCCCAAAACTCTAAAAGGATGGAGTGGAAGTTGGGTCTGAGAGAGTCAGATTTCTTCTTTAAGCTTTTCAAATAATGCTGTCTTCTGTGTCCCCTTGTGAGTATGCAGTAGCCAGAAGGTAGCTCTTCCCAAGGCATGTGCAGAGAGTGAGACAGCAGTAAGGATGGGTGCTGAACACAGGTGTGTTTAGTTGTACCCACCTGGACTAATAGGTCAGATATAGGCAGCAGATGGTAAGACTGGTGTGAGAAGTTATCTGGTTTTGCTCTGCTCCTGGTTGGCAAAGACCAGCCAGATGGTGAGAATGAGGCTATGAGCAGAATCCAGTCTCAGGATCAAGCAAGCGCCAAAGCCTCCTGCTGAAATCATCTGCAGCACCACTGAGAGATGGGCAGGATCTGTGGGCAGAATTCTAGGCTTGAATCTTGAAAACAGAAACCATGGTAGTTCTGACTCTTAGCACACAACATGAGGAAGGGAGCACTTTGTACCAGATGGAGAGGTTGCGAGAACAGAGCGTGACTGTCAGGCCACAGAGTGAAGCTTCGTGCCATAAAGACAGATGGTGAGAGGGGTGCCCCCGTCTGTGGTGGCTTGCTGCCTTTTCAGTACTCATCCTGCCTGTGTACCCTTCACATAGGGCCTCTTCAAGAGCTTCTACTTCCAAAGCATCTTAATTTAGAAGTCAAATGTTAGTGTTCTAAGCTTTAGTCCAGGCTAAGAGCACTTCATAACTTCTTTTTTCTCACATTTAGAGACACCTGGGTTTCTGGTACACTAATAAGGGAATCATAGAATGCTATAATTTATGAAACCAGGCAATGGAGAGAAGATGCCACATAAGGACAAAGTAGGGTGAAGAATAAAGTTTCCTTCCAGTAACTTACTGCCATTAAGATACCAGTGCAAGAGCACAGGAGGTGGGAAACATGGAAAACACACAGATGTATACTTCAGTAAACAGATTGACTACATATATCATTACCCTACTGAAGAAACTCAGTGGCTCTACTGCTACCACCTATAAATGCAGGTGGGAGGGGCCTGCCCTTTAGGGGCTCTGCTCTGGCCCTTGTCCAGCTGCACTCCTATGTACTGAGCAGGAGTCCATCAAGCCAAAGGAATGTGCCTGCCCGGAGCTGACTTTACCCCTTCAGTCCTGGTTGCAGTTACCCAGAAGCCAGAATTCCCTCCCTGACCCTGAACCTGCATCCAAGGCCCATATGTGTCTCTTCCCTAGATCCTGAGGTATTACTCCTAGACCCGTGGAGTGGCCAAGAAATGACAGTTTTGTAGAAGGAGAAGTGGGAATAAAGTTTGGACATGTGGACTGGAGTGCTCAGGTTGTGTGGAGTACCTTGCAGTGTGGGGCTGGACTGTCTGTGGGAAGCAAAGGGGGAAGACTGCTCTGTGTGTGGGGACCAACTCTCCCTGTTCCAATGGGGAACTCTGAAAAGGCCCAGAATTCTAAGTGCAAACCTGGTCTTCCAATTTTTTAAATTTCACAGATTGTTGGCTTGTTTTATAACTTTTACATATTTAGACATTTGATATGTGGTCCTCCACGTGTAGCCTTTTTGTGAGCCCTACAAATGTTATGGTTGGTGCTGATTCCCCATTTAATACAGAAGCAAATTTAAATCAGCTTGCCCTGGGTTTTCAGGCCTTTTACTATTGGCTTCTCTCTAATCTTACCTCCCACTGCTCTTCTGCAGGGATCTTCCATTCACCAAACTGACCTACCCATAGCCAGATTCCGCCCACATCCTTTTCTCAGGTTCACACTATTTTTCTCTGAAAGGCCTCTGTTTCTGCCTACATTTGGATGAGCCCAGGTACTGTTTTAAGACCCAGCCTCATAGTCATGCCTCCTCCCTCTGGACTCTTCTAATAGCTTTTGTCTGAGCCACTTATTGGCACTCAAAGTGTACAACTGTGTGTAGTCATTTTTCTTATTACACAAAAAGTGTGGCTATAAGATAAGGGGACATCAATATGCAATAGTTTTCAAACCAGGAAAGGAGAAAAAAAAAAGTCGGAAGAGTAGCTAGAAAATCAGGAGAAAATGTGGTTAGGCAGGCACCAAAGGGGATGGTCAGCATTGTCAAAAGCCAGAGAGGTCAATGGGAAAGATGCCCCCAAATAGAACATTTGTCCATTAGGAAAAAGGTCTTTTGTGACCATTGAGAGAACAGCAGATTGTGTGGGTGAAAACAACATTGTAGTGGGAAAAGTAGAGATGAGAAAGTAGAAACAGCAAATACACTTTAATATTTCTCAAGAAGTATGATTCTGAGAAGAAAGGAGATAGAGTAGATTGAGAGGGTGGATGGGGTCGGGTGGTTTGTTTCTGTTCAAAAGATGGGGCAGGCTGAGTTTTGAGGGGGAGAAAAGAGAGTAAGATTAGAGGCGGAAATTGATAATGGGGAAAGGGAAGATAGTTGATTAAATATAATCTGGCTCTGGTAATGGCTGAGATCCAGTGCACAGGGGCAATTCTTGCTGCTGTAGGTAAGGGGACGAGGAGGGGATAATGAATGAAGGCTACAGTACAGGAGAGGCATAATAATGAAGATACTGGATTTAAGAGTGAAGACAGTGGCTGTCATTGCAGAGGAAAGGCTAGGAGAGCCTGAATTTTCTGGGGCAGGTCCAGATTTCATATATTTAAATATCCCATTCTTCATTCATTCCTTTCACATTTATTCAATGTCCTGCGTGTGCCAGACCACTGGGGTCTACAGAGATACGAACTTTTCGTGTAATTTTAAAATATGCTATATTGGTGACTCACGTGAGGATTACTTCTTACTTTTCTAGAAGACTTTAAGTAGAAATAAATGCACGAATCAGAAGATGGTCCTTTGTCAGACTAGATGTTCTCGAGATGGGGTTTGATAAACACGAACATCTCAACAATGGTACCTTGTTCGAAGTGGAGAGGGAAGAAAGGCAGAGATAGGGGAAAGGTAGTTTAGATCTAGGTAATCAAGGAGAGTACGCTTTCAACCAGGAAGATGCGAGCCTTCTACGCACTTCATACTAGGCTGTAACTAAGGGTAACAGCGCATCTGTCTACACAGGTATGAAGACCGGCTTCTTCCCTAAACCAGGTGTATCTGCGGAGACTGGGCAGGTCCAGATACAAGCCAAGCCTCACTATCCAAGCTACCTTGCCGTGAAAGTCCACTGCCTCTGACTACGGAAGGTCACTGCTACCTACCTTCGCCCCCTGTTTATTGATGACGGGCGGGGGAGGAAAAGAAGCGGATGGCGAGGCCAATCACCTTTCCTGTTTTACAATTGGTCGTAATAGGCTCGGAGTCCTGCCTCCTGCGGCGCCGCCAACAGGCTCTCGGGGCTGTCACTCGAGCCGTCGCTACCGCCCCTCGCCGTGGCCCCGCCCCTCGCCGTGGCTGGGATCTCGCGGGAAGAGCGGTGGGCACGGCTGTGGCTGAGTCTCCTGGCTGCTCGCAGAGCGGGAGGGCTCTCCTCACACAAGCGCTTCCTCGCGGAGAGACTGGAGCTGCGGCAGCCGCAGGCCTGGCCCGCCCCTTATCTGCCGCCCCCTTCTCTTCCTCAGGGCTCCCCAGTCAGCTCGCCCTCCGACGCTGCCCAGGTAAGGAAGCCCGGAGAGCGTCTCCGCGGAGGAGCGGTCGGGGAGCGGGGACCGTGAGCAGCCGGGGCAGGCGGGCTCCCGACGGGGGCGGCTCCGGGGGCGGCTCCCGGGGCAGCGCGGCGCTGCCTGGTGGGCTCCAGGCTTGGCCGGGTTCAGGAGTGCGAGGAGCGAGGAGGCGGTGTGGCGGGATCGGGTGCAGGCGCCCAAGGGCGGTGTAGTGGGTACCTGGGCTCCTTGGGGTGAGGAGGCGGTTTCTTGGGGTTCCTAGGTCTCTTCTGGCTTGGGGTGGGGGTGGGTGGTGGCGTAGTGGGTGCCTGGGCTTCGGGATCGAGGGAGATTTATCAGTCCTGAGGTTCCTTGAGGTGGTGTAGCGGGGTTCCGGGACAAGGGGACCCTTTATCGGGGTCCTTGGGGCTTTGGGGTCAGAAGATTCAGTTTAGCAAGATCTTAGGTCTCAGAAGGGGCAGATCGTTGGGGACTGGGGGGGGGGAATCTTTTGAGCGGGAGTAGGCATCTGTTTCTCATTCCTGGGACGAAGAAGCAGTATATTTGGGTTCCGGAGAGAAGGGTCTGTGTGTCGGGGTCTCCGGGCTAGAGGGCGATGTGTATGCGTCCTGCTAGGGCCGGGCTGCCTTGGTGGGCAGCTGGGGGCGGAAGGGTGTACCGCGGAGACCAGTGTCTTTACTGGGGGTTTTGCTTTGCCCAGAGGGGGGCGGTAACTTGGCATGATCTCCAGTCTTTTCGGGGGCGACAGGGCGAGTTAGAGGGTCCCCGGGTGATCTTGAATGGAGGGCGCGGCTCAGCAGGCGCTGGGTCGGCTCCGAGCGGGAGGGCGTTTTAGTGGCATCCTGAGCCGGTCCAGTACTCAGCCTGTGGCTGGTCAGCATCCTGGAACAGGTCTCTTTCCCTCTAGATGAGAGATACTCAGTACTTAATTGGAAGGTTGATCCGTGTTGTTGCCTAGTTGGAGAAATAGTGGGTTTGTTCTGCAGTTTTCTTTTCTCCGCCCCAGGATTCCCATGGGGGCGTGCTGGTCTCTCTGCTCTGGGAGCGAGAGTGGCACCTCCTTAGATGGGTATGTAGACTGTAGGTTCTTCAGGAGGCGGGTGTCCTCAGGTTGATCGTGGAAGCCGCTAAGGTTGGGGAAGACTGTGTGGTTTTGACTTCTCTCCGCTAGGTAGTCTGCTATGCTGATACTGCATTATTAGATCTGTACTAAAGTCTTTCTGAATGTTAGGCAGAGTCAAATGATACTGGGGAGTGTGTTCTGGCTTTTCTCTGTCCCTTGAAAGGCATTTGTGGAGAGGGATCACATCCAAGTAACTAACATATTGGAATTTGAAGTCCCAAAGCTAGAACTCTGCAAGTGTCATTTGAGACCTGTAAGGATGACTAACAGAGCTCTTTTAGAGAATCTTGCTTAACAGTTTTATTATAAAGGTACAGTTAGTCTTAAAATTTATTGCAGAATTCTTGGTAACTAGCCCAGACTTAGGTGGAATTCAAATAAGATGACCTGTATATATGTGAATGTGCTTTTTAAAAAATCTGTAAGTCAGAAAGTCTGCATTTGCCTGACAGTTGTTCTGGTTAGATAGCTGCTTTATCATAGAGGCCTGTAAATGAAGTCTGATGTGGTAGGCAGTGGAGCCTGTACTCATAATATTCTGTAATTTTAGGTAAACAGACAAATTTGAGTATGCCAAAGCAAAGAATTTTGCCTGCCTTAGTCTATTTCTTTTGATTTTAGAACCAGAAAGATTAGGGATAATGTACTTAATCCTTGAATCTTGCAGTCATTTAAAAAAGCAAAGGAATCCTACATAGCATTAGTTAACTCTTTGGAGAGCTTAGGGTTTTTTGTTTTTGTTTTTGTTGTAATTCAAACCAAAATACCTGATTTGATAGCTATAAAAACTGATCAGTTGAGCAGATATTTGTTTGGAACTACAGCTAAAAACAAACAAACAAAATGTACTTTTGGATGACAAATGATAAATTAAGCAGATTTCAATAACTTTTTTTTAAAAGCAGCTTTTCTAATTTCCAAATAAACATACAGATCCGTTAATAAGTATTTGATTATCTGTGAGGTGTCAAGCACTGGAGGTACATTCCAGCTCTCATATCACCTACATGGAGAGAAAAAAAGACAACAAATAAATAAATACATAAAATAATTGAGATGCTGATAAGGAAGAAATAAACACCATACTTGGGGTTAGCTCATACTTTTTATTTTATAACCCCTGAATGATAATGTAATCGATGTCTCTTGTGATAACAAGAAACCAAGGAAGATAATGATCTACCTTCTGAATTATTAAAGACTAAATTATCAGTAGAGTTTGGGTGTTAAATGTATATTTACTCTTTGAGGATTAGCACCTTTTGTTGTATAAGCATAAAAAAGTATGTAAGGACACACATCAAACTTATCAGTGTTTGGGGGATTCTTCAATAGAAAATTGCAGAGGCATGGAAGACAGCTATTAACTTTATACTTTTATATTATTGGAATCTATTACAACAAGCAGACATTAGTTAAGTGTAAATTTAGAGAAATCTAAAAATTAAAACATCTTGGTGGCTGTGAAATGTATTTATCATGCTTTTTGTCAGTGTTGCCACTTCTGCTTGTGTTACTAGTGAAGGAAAAAAATAAATTTCAAGGATCTAAAAATTATAGGCGTGGGGGGAGCACAACAAAATAAGAAAAAGACTGAGACCTGAGTAAAATGTTAAAACATGTTAAAGATGTTGGAAATTTAATTATATAAAGATAAATTAATCTTAGGCTTTTCTTCTTCCCAATTTAATTGTTTCCTGACTTCAAGAAAGTAAATTTTTAGACTCCCTAGAGAAAAATAGGGTGTGTTTTTATGGCAGAGTAGGAGGTGTTCTTATTATGGCACAGACTTCATAAAGAGATTTCTTTTTGTCACACACATGCACATCTGATAGATATGTTTTTCTTGTGAGGCATATGAAACATAAAAATAGTTTTATGGTTCATTATTACACTGATGAAAGTGACAATACCACAGTGTCTTTTGGATTATCATTCAAAATTCTAGAACCATAAATATGATATACTAAAGCAGTTTCTAGAAAGGAACTCTTGAGATATGAATTCCAGTCTTCACTGTGCAACTAACTATATATGACCTTAAGGTAATTCCTTAGTCTCTTAGGGCCTGTTTCCATATACATAAAATTAAAGCAAGAGAGGTCCCTGTCAATAATCAACATAAACTCCCAATTCCAAGGATTCTATTGCATTGATTTTTATGTTGCAGAGCTACAGTATTATATGTACAAAAAGGGATAGATATCGTAAGAGTAGCTAGTTCTCAGGATATAACTAGTTCCATATAATTTTTCTATATCATACTTAATTTCAGAAGCCTCTTACTTTTTAAGATATATAGGAAGTTCTTAATTCCAGAATATACATTCATGAAGGTAAATGATTTCCTTTTGATAATTTAGCTTTATCTGTTAAAGCATTGTTATTTTTATTCTGATCCCTGGTTCTATAGTAGAATATCTATATGACAATGTAATGGCCTTATTTAACTCTGATTGTAGAATGAGCTCTCTAGTGGTTGAGCCCCTTTAATCCATCTTTTATACTACTGCCAAGGTGAGTTTTCTAAAGTGAAAATCTGTTCAATGCTTATTTCTTAAAACCCATACTTCTTTTTTACGTACAGCATTTAGTCCTAACAATTTATCGTTACAAGGCTCTTCATCATCTGGCTTATCTCTTGCCTTTCTTCCACCGTAAACCTCAAACATTCACTGAAAGAGCCATACTGTTTCCTGATTTGGAGCCTTTTCATGTATTCCCCCCTTCTGCTTAGGATGTTTTTCTTCTGTCTTGCTGACAAAGGCTACTGATTTTTCAAGATACAACTTAAGTAGTACTATTAGCTCTTTAAGTCTTCTGTCCCCTGCTCCCCGCTCTTCCCACCCCACCGGCTTGTTCACTCTCTATGTCTTGTTTCTTAGTATGCTGTAATTATAATATTTATATCTGTCTCCTCTAGTCAAAGGCAGGTTTATATTTGTCTTATTACTTTTTGAATCTCTATCACTTATTTTACACTGTTGGCTCTCATTACATGTTTGAACTCTCAATGCTACAATCATGTCTTTACAATATCTGAGACGAATTAAGCCCAAATCTCATTCTTGTCCTATTTTTCAAAAATTTTGGTCTTTCTAAATTATCTTATTTTCTTGCCTCAATAACCTCAAACTGACATTAGATCTGTAGTTCTTATCCTCATATTTAAGAAACGAGACTCCCAAACTCTAGGAGTTAAGGGTTACTTTGTTAAAGTTGCAGAAAAGTCTTGCAAAATTTTGAGGCAACCACTAATCCCTATATCTAAAATTGCCAAGAGAGTTTTGAATTAGTTTGGGTATTTCAGATCTTGGGCATCAGTGATTTGGTAGATATTTTACCTTGGCTACTTTCTATATGAGAAATGACTGTTGCCCATGTGTGGGCGTAATAATTGCTTTACATACATTGCCTTTAATTTTCAAAACAAATCCTGAACATTTAATAACTTAGGGTCATTATCTACTAAGAAGCAGGCTATGAATAGATCCAGGTCTATCTTACTCCCAATTCTATGATTTTTCAAAATACTACACTGTTTTCTGAATATGAATGCTTATTTTTATTTATTTATTTATTTGTTTATTTATTTATTTTTTTAGCTGAGCCATCTTGCCACCTGTTCGCAGCTCAGCGGCAGCTCAGCTTGGGCCGGACTCGAACCGCTGTTGCTCAGAGCTCAAACCTTTGAGCGAGCTCTTAACCAACTGAGCCACTGAGCCGGCCCTATGACTGCTTATTTTAAATTATTAATAGATACTTGACTCATTTTATAAATTGAAGAAGTAGGTTGTAAGGTCTATCCATTCATTTTTTTCAAAAAAGATAAAGTAGAGAATTTGAGATTGGACTTTAGAGACCGTTTAGT